AAATTAACATGATGGCGTGAGAAAAAATCAGCACATATAAAAGTTTATTGGATGTAATCAGTTAAATGATTAAAAAGACGTAGCAAAATAATCTAGTGATTAGAGCATCATGTATAATCTGTGCAACATCATGTTAAAAACTTTCAAAATGATTAAACAGAAGCCAGTAAAAAAGCCCTGAAAATTAGGTGAAATGGATGGATTGCTTATGTGTTTTTTGGAAAATTAGTTCTCCTACTATTGCTCAAAAAATGCATCAATAGAAAGAAGATCAGAAATAATTGTTTTTTCCCTTTGAAAAAAATAACCTAATGAAAACACTTTGTGCTTGCTCAAAATAATGAAGAAGGTTGTGATTCTTTAAATAAAAAGTTTTGTTACTTAAAAATAGTGAGTGAAAGCATTTCCATATACTGAAAATGAAATGTTCCAGGGGAATTTTTGTCCTGATATACTAAGTTTTGTTTTCTTACTGGTCCTGGCCACTTTCTTTGTACATGTCCCTGAGACATGCATATAGCCTCCAGTGCTTCCTAGAAGCCAAAAACCAGCCAGTGTTACTGATTCCATAACCTCCGGTAATCATAAAGAACTGTGAAGGAGGAAAGTTCTTTGACAGCTCTTCATAAAATGACAATGAGAAATATAGTGATCCTACACCTTTTGGTCAGGACCCCACAGGTTTCATGTTACTGCATTTTAAGGCCAGGAATCATCTTTAGGCAATGCAGACAAAATTAAGGGTCAAGAATCTACTGCTTGAACATATAGAAGCCAGTCTGTACTGAAGCCCAAGATAAAAAGAAAGATAATGGGAAAACAGTTAGTCACTTGCTAAGAGTGTGATGGTAAAAGTTTCATCATCAGATGGATACTATACAGCCAACCAAAGTTGAGAACGTAGAGCGCCGTCTTTCCTATGCTACTGTCTGCAGTGCCTGTGGAATTCTAAATCCACCTGTGTCCTAGGGTCCTAGTTAACATTTTGCATAGACCTAATAATAATTTTATGGTTGCTCAGAGCAAATCTAATGGTCCCTGAAAACTTATTTAATATGAGGAAGGGAAGCAATTGTTTGAAAACAGTATTTACCCAAAAGACTAGAATGACTCATTAGATACATTTGTATGTGGGCTTTTTTTTTCACTTTACAGTGCATTATTGAAAATAAATATAAACTTTAACAGCTCTCCTGAAACCACTTAATCCATCATATACTTTCTCTGTACAGTTCTGTGGTTTACTGTTGTGAAAGTACAAAAAAAGCTCTGCAGTGCAAAATACAATTCTTATTAACTATAGTTACTGTTTCCAGTAAAATGTTTCGATAAAAATATCTGAGACTTTTGAGTTAGCCTCAGGATTATGAGTTTTTCAAACTCTTTTAAAATTATTACTATATGTTTTACACCAACCATTTGCCAAATTTGATTTCTCTCAAATCAGACTAATGTTTGCGATATAGCAGAAATGTGAAGAAGTAAAAAATGCATATTCAGTACAGGAATAGGAAGTTTACAGCAGTTTTGCAAATTAAACCCTTTTATATGTCTTAATAAAGGGTTAGATTAAGCAATACATTAATTGACTAACTGTGCTAAGCTTTTATTAAGAGGATGCTTCTATGAGCACACTCACAGAGTAACTTGTGCACTGGACTCTAAAGCCAACGGGCTGGTTCTGCTAAATATATACTCTACCTTGAGACAACTAAGAAAGCAGTAAAAAAAAAAAAAAAAAGTAAAATTATAATATTTTGCATTATTTATATTTATCACAGACAAGCAACTAATTAATCGGGGGATCATTTTTGAAATTAGATATTTTGATAATTTTGCAGCCTGATTTTTCATAGATGCAGAGCATCCATAAATCTAGTTTAGACACAGTAGTCATCCAGCATTGTTATTAGCCATACAGAAAACAAAACAATAACACAACAACAACAAAACAATAAAAAACTTTCTCCCTCCCCTGAAAAAGAAAAACAAAACACCCAAAAGCAAGCAAGCAAACAAACAAAAAAAAGCAACAGGGAAAAAAATTGAGCAATTATTCCTTTGGTGTTTGACAACAATTTAAATTCAAGGAAATGAAAATTGAAGTATCTAACTACTTAGGATGAAACATACAGGATACTTGTAGATAACAGTGAAATAGTTAAAAAGATGTTGCTCATCGCTGAACACTTATGCTACATTTCATTGTGAAATTGTTAGCTTTTTGGATATTAGGTGCAAGAAAGTGCAAAGAATATTTAGTCAACTGTTACAGTACCACATTACAAAAAGTATTTTCTAGGCCACAAAGGCCACAGCTGATATAATTTGTATTAAGATAAATGTATACACATAATAGTTTTTCAATCTCCATATACGTATCTATATCAGCATCGCAAAACCACTGGGAAAATGATCTAGGCCATAAATCTTGTATTTTAAATATTAGACATCTAGAGAGAATAGAGAAATGAAATTCTGCAAGGTAGCTCTGTATTTATGGTGATGAAAATACAACCTTGAACAAGAAAGATCAGCATTTAGCATTACCAATCCTCTCTGGGAAATGCATTTCTCTCTAGACGCCGTGGATAGCAACTCTGAACAGATGTGAAAAAACTTTAGTTGGAGCCATTATTGTTAGTGCTTTTACTAATAAATGAGGAATACCTGAAAGTTCTATTTGTCTATTTGGCTTTCTTTCTTTATGTGTATGAAATCATTTTGAATTCCTCCTTTTTGTTGCCTTAAAAAAATATATAAAATGTTAAGAACAGCCTTCTCAGCATCTCCAGAACAGTCAAAATGTTTCAAGGCAAAACTGACTGCTGTAGTGATCAGTTAAAGGAATGGAGGTGGCTGGATCTTTATTAATTCATTTTGTCAGTCTGGCCAAACTAACCAACGCCAAGTTGTTCTTTGCTCCAAAGACCCTTTTCCTCTTCATAATCAGATTAATTTCCACAAATTTTTCCATTCGCATAAAACAGTCTTTCATTTTTCTCATGTATGAAAGCTCCATAAAAATGCTGTTTTGAAAAGAATACTATCCTCACATGTATCTCTAAATCTTAAAAAGAAAAAGTCACCGCTCCAACATTTTCTAGTTGCAGTTCAGCTTTCAAAATCTAAGGTCCAACCATTCAGTCTTTTCTATGCTCTTAACAATGAATGAATGAATGAATGAATGAATAAATAAATAAATAGTCTGAGGTTAGAATGTTAAAAAAAAGTGAAATCTACAAAATAATATTCAGTTCTCTTCCAATTTTTTTTTTTTATATCAGCTCACTCAGCAGATGATTTGTTGTAGTTTCTTTCAGTGTGTATTCCAATAAATGAATTCTATTGTTTATAAAATTATTACATTTCAATTTCTTTTTCCATAAATTGATACAAAGCACAACTCAAATTCATTTTGGACATCTAATTTGAAGTACCAAGTGAGGGACCAGAGACACGAGCTACATATTCAGTTAAAAGTACTTCAAATAAATCTAACACTGTCATACTAAATCAAGAAACATAAAGAAGTTTTTTTTTTGTAACCACAGCTTTTGTTCATGTTTTTGAATACCTAAAATTCATAAAGTAGTTTATGTTACATCAGAGCATATTCACACCTACAGTTTGGCCTGATTAAAGACTGAATATGGGATGCAAAATGCACACAGCAAACAGGCTCTACTGAAAGTGCTAGATGCATTGGCTTGGGAGACCTTTACATTTCTGTGGAGCTAGAGCGACCTCCACAGAAGTCCACATAGACACATTTACTGTCCATAATGACACACCCACATCTGTTGTTCAATGTCATGCAGAGCTAGTGGATAACTGAAGAAAAACTGCTACCAAATACGACTGCTGGCCTTGGTGCACATGGTTGCTATGCCAGACAGTTTAATGAGTTCCTGTAGGTGCAGCAGGCATCCTGGAATATTATAACTGCATAGATCCAGTCACGGGACCTCTTCCATAAAGGCTGAACTAAAACCCAGTGAAGCCTGTAGGGTCCTACTCGGCCGATGTGGCTTCAGAGGATATATGATCAGTGTTTTTTTCACCCTGTTCAAAGAAAGAACTTCAAATAGTCAAAATGCGACAGTAATTACTGCTGTTGTTTTTTCTTTTTCTTTTTCTTTTTCTTTTTCTTTTTCTTTTTCTTTTTCTTTTTCTTTTTCTTTTTCTTTTTTTTTTCTTTTTCTTTTTCTTTTTCCTTTTCTTTTTCTTTTCCTTTTTCCTTTTTCTTTTTCTTTTTCTTTTTCTTTTTCCTTTTCCTTTTCCTTTTCCTTTTCCTTTTTCTTTTTCTTTTTCTTTTTCTTTTTCTTTTTCTTTTTTCTTTTTCTTTTTCTTAATTCTTTTTCTTTTTTTTCTTTTTATCTTCCTTTTGTCTCTTTCTTTCTTCTTCTTCTCTTCCTTTTTTTCTCTTTCTTTCTCTCTTCCTTCCTTCCTTTCTTTCTTTCTATTTCTTTCTTTCTTTCTATTTCTTTCTTTCTATTTATTTCTCTATTTCTCTCTCACTTCCTTTTTTTCTTTATTTCTTTCTTTTGCATGCACTGTTCAGCTTGAAGTGTTATCTTGAGAAGCCATATAAAATTTAGTTCAATTTAGATGAGATTTACTACAAGAGCCATATATGACTATTTGATCTCTCTCAGAAGAATTAGGCATCAAAATCTGCAGTGGTTTTGAATTGCTTTAGGGAGTGTTCTTTTTGATTTCTATATCTATTCAAATATATTGGGTATGATACTGAATATATACCAGAGAGAAAACAGGTGAGTGAATTTTTATGAGAAAGGATTATATTTGGCTCAAGCCAACTTCATTCATATGGTTAGAAATTATTATAAACTGTAATATAAGACTTAGAATAGGAAAAAATGTATTTTAATACAAAAATATGGATGCAGTTCATCTGTGGAATCCAAACCTGTTTATGTAGATGTGAGTTACATGGGAGCACTGGACATTGAACACGGTGAATCCACTCTTGTTCCCTAGGGTGTAAGTGGTGGTTTTGGTGATGAACAAGATCCCTGGCTATCAAAACTGGTTGCTCGGCCAGGTAACTGCAAGAAAAACATTAATTTTACAAATGTCATTAATCTGGCCATGACTCATACTCATTTCAGAGAATGAGGGAATCCCTCAGAGAAGAACCTGAGTCACAACCAAACCCTTTATGGGTCAAAGTCTTAATCAAAACAAATAATGGAAAGAAATTTCCTGGAGACTAAAAATTCCTCTGACTCCTTCACAGAAGTGAATGGTAGGTACCAGGATAGGTACCTCCTTCATCAAACATATATAATTCAGAAAAAGCCAGGAAGAAGAGAGAAAGCCTCAAAAGAGGCTTCAGTTTTGCATTGACTCAGTTTCCCCATCCTCATACTCTTCAAATATTCTATTGAAGACTTGATGTTTTTTCTATCACTGGAGATACCGTGCAGCAAAGCAATACACAGTGGGGAAGCCAAATGTCTTGTGCTGCCTAAAACAGCAAATAATTTTTCTACGGAGAGTAATCTGAAGAAGTTCTTGATGGTGCAACCCCTGTGTCCTAAAGCAGGGCCTGCTGCTTGTTGAGTCTTCAATATGAATCTTTTCATACTCAAAGTTGATTAGCATTTTGTATATAGAAAACCAATAAGATATGGACACACCAGGCTGAAGACGGAGTCCAAGCCTGGGGAGCTGTAGATACAATCATCAATCCATATGAATAATCTTCCAATAAAAGTCTACTTGAGTAAATCTAGAGATAGTTGCTATTTTTCTTTTTTTGCCTCTAATTAGCATAATTAGCCAGTTTCAGATTACTGTTTTAGCATTATAACTGTTAATGCTGAAGATTTTTGAATAGAAAAAGATTGCCTTTGAACTGCTTACATATGATCTCTTAAAAATGGATGGAAGATCAAAATCTCAGGAATTTTAAAGGTTTTAATGTTACAGTGCTGTAACGTGTAGTATCCTCATGAAAATGTTTAAAATGGCAGATATAATAAACAATAAACCTAAGCAACTAGACATAGTTGTGCATAGGGTATTATAGCAGCGTGATATATGGAAGTGGCAACCATGATGTGCTGATTTTCATGATTCATAGAAGCACATAAATGGGGAGAGAAAATAACCCTAAACATGCAATACACTCAGGAGAAGAAAACTGTGCTACTTCTTACCTCTACCAATGGATGCCAGTGAGTTATTGGTTTACGTGGGTAAGCCAACATTTCATTCCAGTGATCTCTTCCAAGGCCTTCAGCATCTATTCCTGTCCGACATACTCCGATGACCTCATTGTGCCCTACACTGAGAATTGTAAAGAAAGAGAATTATTTTTTAATGCAGTTTTAATAACATTTGATGTATAATTCAGGTTACTAGTTTCATGCAGCATAGAATATATGTCCAAGATTTTCCTGGTATTTATTACAGATATTAGTTTTAGTGGATTTGTGGCAATAAGAAATTCTGTAATACCATCCAAAACCTCCAGCCACTCCCAGACTGTTCCTAGGAGCTATAAAAATAGCAATGAAGACTTAACCTTTGCCATTAAAATTTTACAGACCAAAACCCTCAAGGAGAGCATGCTTAAGTTTTGTTGTAGGGGAAGGTGATGGAAGATGCCAGGGAATAAATTCCTGCTCCAGATGTTTCAGATGTAATTTACACTACATATCCTAGATCTAATTAATATAATTGGAATTTCTGCTAAAAATGTGAAAGGTTAGGTGTTACATCAGTGAGGGGTTTACCTTAGTATTTCAGAATTCCCAGCAGTGTCACAGACAGTCTTGAGGGAACCCAGAAAGTCCTTTTCTTTACCTGCTTACAAGTACCTGAGACTAACATTTCCTACTTTCCATTTAGTTAGCTTTTTGAAAGGAGCAGCTGGAGATAACTGGAGGTGCACAAGTTGCTCTACATTTCTCCCCCCAGTGGTGTTGCAGTGTCCCTTTCATATCTGAATGTCTTACTAACAAATATGATCAAATATGATGGTGAGGAAAGATAATCTGACATTTTGTATTAGTAAACTGGACTTTCAGTGTTTATTTGCCCTGCGATCTCAAGAGCTCATTACTAATAGCCCTAGAAAGAAGCAGACTTGGATCAGACACAGTACTGTCAGTCACAGTCTAATTTACCTTGCAATATTTGAGTTGATTTGAGCAGGAGTCTCCTCAGTTCTCAGTAAGGATACAGATTAGTTGAAGCTAAGATGTGTAATCAGTGAGGGATGAACTGAAGGATTCATCCAAATAATTAATTGTGGCTTAATTTAATGAGGCAATTAGGCACTTAATTCTTTCTTAGGCATCTAAATTTCCATTGATTTCAAATACCTGACATTTAAATAGAAACTGGAGGCACAAGCATCTTTTAAACCAGGAGCCATAACTGACCAACTTTTACATTGTATAGCATCTAGATGGGGACAGAAATGCATGTCACTTCTAGAGGCAGGTAAGGAGTTCTATCCAAGCTTCTGCCTTACCACAGACAAAATGAACTGAGTTCTAAAAGTTGTGGAAGCTTTAAATCTCTAAAGGAAAGGCACAAAGACTTTATTTTTTGTGACACTGTGACTTACTTGAAAGTTCAGGGAGGTGGAAATCAGTTGCTTGCTATGATCAAATAATGTCTAACTGAAGATTAATGTTCGGAGAGAAAACAGTGCTTACCGATCATAATCCATCACTGCAATGGAGAGGCTGACCTGGTCCACATTCTCTGGAGGGATATCAAAGATGATGGCCTCGTTATAAACTGGATTGAGTGTATTCTTCTTTGTGGTTGTTTTCCGCTTTTTCAGTCTTCGACCCTCACACATCAGTGACACTTTCACATATGGATCTAAGTAACAGACAATAAGTTGTGTGTACTTGGACTCAAAGCCATTCATACATGTAGCATATATACAATATTTCTGTAGGTATGTCATACTTATAAGACATAAAATGCAATATCTTTAGTGATGTTGGGAATCCATGCTTTCAATATGCTGTCAATGCAATGGAAAGGTATAAAATTTCTGAATGGATGTACCAAACACCACACCAAAGATAGCAGGTATGAAGGCTGCCCCAAAAGTAGTGTCTCCAATTTTATTATGTTGGCCCTTGATGTCAGAGATAGATGTTGGTGGTATGGCATTAGAGGTTGAACCTTCCTGACAATACCCTATTACAATTTGTTGCTGTGCGACAGATCGCAGCAGAGGGGAAGGCTGACAAAATGGTGTCCAACATGGAAGTGTGTATGAAACAACAGTACTTTATTGTGAATTCCAAGCAGAAAAAATCACACCCATTGAAATACATCAGCACTCGCTGAACATTTATGATGACCAAACATCAGATGCAAGAACAGCGAGGAGGTAGGAGGTGCATTTCAGCAGTGATGCTGTCACAGCAGCTATGGAACTGTGGGTCACTTCTGCTGGTGCAGATATTTATAAGCATGGAATGGAGACTCTTTTTCATTGCTGACAAAAATGCACAGCTAATGGTGGAGACTATATTGAAAAATATACGTTTTGTAGCTGAGAATTTGCTGTATCAAATAGTGTTATTGTGATCTTTGTAGCTGTTGTTTCCATGGAAATAAATAGGAGGCAATACTTTCAGTGTGACATATATAGGTCCTATACTCATTCTGATGCTACTTTCGTTCAGAACCATGCTAAACATGCACTAAAAGAAGAGGTTGTTTTTTGTCTCCTTTCTGAGTAAGCTCTGCTATGCTGTTTAAAAAAGAAGTAGATTCACCTGATGCACCAGTTATATCCATTGCTTTGAGATTTCTGCATTTGATGACTGTTAATGTCATTCTCCCAGCAGTAGGCAAATAACAAAGGGAAAACATGATCTCACCCAAATCTATGCTTTCCTGAAAAAGAAAAGCAATTATTAGAAACCTAATCACACTGCCAACAATTCAGTTCATACCATGCTGAAATTCAGGAATATTTTTACCATGAAGAGAGACATCTTTTGATACGTTTGAAGAGAAACAGAAACAAGACTATTTGGAACATACAGAAAGAGTACCAATAGGATAATATTTTAATGACAGGATCTAGAGTTACTAAATTGAGAATTTAAATCAAAAGCATAGCCAAATTTTTCTGGAAGCATTCGTGTTGATTTCACAGTTAGAAAAGCTGCTGAATCTTGAATTTCACACTTGGAAAAACTCAGATTGCATTATCCCTAGTATAAAGAAATCAAGTGGGATATTTAGATCACACAGATTTCCTTGCGTTTTAGCCACTGAAATGAATGCAGCAGTTTTATTCATTCACATATGTATGTATCTGAAAGGTTCATCCTGTCTGAGAGCTTCAAAAAGATGAATGTGGTTCTAAACATAACTAGCCTTATTGATTTTACTCTGTTTAGTGGATTGTTTTGTTCTAGAAGAAAAGCAAAGCAAAGGAGTAGCACCTCAAACTTTCCTGCCTCAAGGACAACTTCCAGGGGATCTTACACTAGGGAAGATAGATAAGATCTGAATAAGATCTTGATCATACTCATGGAGAAATAGCATCTATGTTGTGACAACGTGTTGTAAATTTTAAAAAAAATGCTATATAGTTCAGATGCAATATCTGCCAAATGGGATCTAAGGAAGAGAATTTCTATTATTTTTTTCCCTTAACTATACACAAGAACATATAATTTCCTAATATCACACAAGTTTAGCTTTTGAGATATTAGTTATATTCTGAATTATTCCTGTTCTTTTAAGGTAGTAAATAACTTTCTACGCCTCCTCCTCAAACAAGCAAACATAATTAACCCTACCACAACACATTAAGAACAAGTCAGGATTTTTAAATAATAGCTTGTAAAGATCTTGCAAGGCTGTCAGCTCAGTAAGGCAGCAATTCTCAAGCATGCTCATATGATCTTGAAGGATTATTTTTTAACTTCACTAAAATGCTTATTTTTAATTCACATCTTTAGTATTTTATCTGTCAGACCAGCAACTACCCTGAGATTACAAATTTGAATTGAGCTGGATTTATGTATTGATCTAACATCAGAAGGTGAGCATGACATATTTTTAAATGATGCATGCTAAAATAATTATTGCTGGGTAGATGACAAACATGTTGCTTATAGCTATGAGTCAGAGTGAGGATTTTTCACATTGTTCAGCTACATATATGAAGTCTTACTAGCTTCCCTTGGGTTAATGCTTTACCCTGAAATAGATACTCCAAATCTTTCTTGAATAAAGATGGACTTAATCACATGCATAGGTAGTTTTTATTCTTTTTTTTCCCCCTGCACTGTGAACTCTAGATAGAAGAATGTAATTTTAAAATAGCTTTAAAATCTTTGTTGCACTGTTAATAGAAGATTGACTTTTGTGTAGGTTGGTCAGTGCATAAGTTCAGTCATTTTGCTGTGATTCTGTTCTAAGTATTAAGAGTGGTGTGCATGTGAACATTCTCCATGGGTAGATATCATGCTTGTCAGGATTTCAAAATGATTTAGTCATCTAGTCTACATAATAGAGCCATTTCGTACCCCCTTTTGTCCAGTTTCTTACTTTGCCACACAAACTGCACAATTTTGTACCAAAGAATATACACACAGATAGTGAACAAATTCACTTTTTTTTAATTGTGAAAAGATAAAACTTCAATAAATGAAGTGTAATCCTTTTCAATTATTTATTAAAGTGATAGTTGTCCTGTGTTATACTTTACAGGTTTGTCATATGTGGAATCTGTGTTTTAAACACAGCTTCTGTTGCTACCATTGCTTTCTGAATTCAAACTGGTCCTCATATGCATATATGAAAGACATCTCATCCTTTTCTTTGAAAAGAAAATGCACATCCCCAACATTCAGCTATTCAAAGTGTGAAGTCTGAGTTGAGGGAGGTGATGAGGATGGGTTGGGTCATGGAGCACAGTGAGAAGATCATGAAAAAGACTGAGAGGGCATAAATTCTTCTTCCAGAGAGTTGATTTGTGTAGGTGAATAGAAAGAAAATCATTTTTTGCAAGATGGGAGAATATACTTGAATCTTCTATTATTACATTCTGAAGATAAATTATACATGCACTCAGAAGTTTGAGTGAGGTTAAATGATAAACAACAATTCATACAGGACTATTTGCCATAACTTAAATGCTTTTAAAAAATGCAGTGCTCAAAACACTTGCAAAGCTCCATGTGGTGGTTACTGTATTTTCTGAAGACTTATGAAAACCCTCAGTGCTTAACAAAATGACAACAATTTGATATTAATGCTTAGTCCTTTTTCTTTCCTTTCTAAACCTTGTGTACTGAATATATATATTATATCAGAAAAGAACTTGTAAAATTCCCTGCAATCAAACCCGGTGTTTTTGACCACCAAATGATAAGCAACATGCCTAATGCAAAATAATGCCTGGACAACGAATGAGGGTGAGGTTTTCAGCCCACACATCAGGCCATGAAAAGGGGTGTCCTGAAGTTACCAGAGCTCTGTAATCTGTGATACTCTTCAGTTATAAGGGAAAAGTTTAGGACCGGGAAAAGGCTCTCTACCATTCCACTATTTATTCAGGCATCCCTTGAGACCTATGATCTACATCTGGAGAAAAGGTGGCTCACGTCACTCTGAAATATCTGATTTTCATACGGCAGAATAATACTCATGCTACTACACGTGCTATGAAAATAGGTAAATTCTGCAGTAGGCTAGAATACATACTATTTCAGATAAACACCCTTGTCTATGTCAAAGACATTTATGAGCATCTTGTCATAAGATCGGAAGGCTAGAAATAAAATCAGTAGCTACATTGCACTGATCTGTGGACACCATATAACTCTCCTGGTAAAGAGAACCTGTTGTGATAGACTACTACCAGCGGTTAGGAGTTCCCATGGTCCTCTGAGGTCAAATACAAATCGTTTCAGAATCCTTTGAAACAACTCTGATGCTTTTCTCCTTTTGATTTAACTTGATACTAGTTGCAGCATTTGCTAATTTATTTATTTATTTACTTATTTATTTATTGTCTTTTTGGTTAGCAAGGAATTGAAATTCCTAATATTTTTACTAAATTTCTGTTCTGAATATCTGTCAAGACTGGTAGTCTTTCTTCATACGTGGGTGAATTCTTATGGTTATATGTTATGGTTATAACTTTAAGAATTATGTTAGGACCTCTAGAAATTATCAGCCAACTGAAAACAAAGATATTAAAAGTAATATAACTAAAATATATATTCTTTGGAACTCACACACATAGGGTGAAGCTCAAGAGTCATGAACTTTTAAATTTTCTTTTGGAGGGTTAAGGATAAAATTACATACATATAAAAGCATCAGAGATTGGGCACCACGTGAAACGGCTGGGATATCACACATTTTATTTTGTTTTTCATAACTTGTGTGCTAGAGGGCCATGAATTTGGAGATGAATACACAAGTTCAGACATAGATAATGAACAAAGTAACGCTCAACATATAAACTTCTTCTGAAAGTCTTTGCCTATCAAACTGACTTTCATGAGTAACATTTTTGAACACCTTGGATACTTAAGTATTATTTCTTTTAATTGAGATTTAAAAATAGGATTTAAATTACTTCAGAATGCCATTGCTCTAGAAAATTTGTATTCCTCTTACTGTATAATACACTAGGTAATTAAGTTCACACAACTCATCTGACAGGAACCCTTTAGTATGAGCAAATCTACGAAAGCTGGAGTACAGACAACATCATTAACTACATCTGCACTACAATCCACTTCAAAAAAACATGACTCAGAGTACACAGACCCAAAACCAGCAGCAGCCTCTCATGCAAATCTGAGTTATCCTTCAGACTGCTTTACATGTATCACATGTATCACATATTCTCCTATAACTTTTTTTAGAGCAGTACCTAGGTAACTCTCATGACACTTTCTTTCTTTTCTTGGCCTATTTTGATATTTTTTTCTTCTTAATTTATACTCAGATTTTAATTAACAGGTAGTTTTACAGATGCTTGTAACCATTATCCCCCCCATCAAATTACAATAAGAGGTACAAAGCGCAATAAACAAAGAATAAAAACTACTAGCATCAGCACAGCTGCACTAATACAGAAAGAAGCATTTGTTGGTACTGCATATCTTTTTTTTCTCTCTTTTTTTTTCTTCCCCATTTATTTTCCTTTTGTGTATGGGAGACATCATAGACAACTAAGGAACTGGAACGGTGGTAGCACTACACCAGTTTCAGTTATTTTTATGGCTCCCAATCTACCACACTATTCAATCCATTTTCTGTCACAGCAATGCTAGAACAAAATAAAACAAAGGAAACAGACTGCAAGCATGTCTGTTAGCTACACAGATTAATTTGATTTTTTAGATACAGAATGTAGATTCTTTTTTGAATATCATAATTATCATCCTACAAAAGCAACCACCCCATCGTGGATTTGCTAGCCAGTTACCAAGTATGTGTACACATCCATTGTTCTATGTCTGTTTGGGATATCAGCCCAGAGGTTGGCAAAGTTGGACAAAAAATCATCCTTATTCTATTACTTTGTCATCAGACCCACCAGAGAGCAGTACTCACATCTTCACACTTAGCTCTGTGCAAGCATTTCTACAGAAATGTTCCCTAGTTATGTCATAGACAGAGTAGAGCAAGGAGAAGTTTGTGCAGAGAAGCACAAATTAGCCCAATCGAGTTTTTAGTTGTTGCTGGACAAAATTCTGCTGTTTCTCATAGAATCATAGAATCACTCAGGTTGAAAAAGACCTTAAAGATCATTGAGTCCAACCACGATTAATTATTCTGATTAATTTGTCCAGTCTTGACATTAAATTTAATCAGAGATAACATTTAGCTAAGAATATCTAGAAATCCAATGAGAA